CTACGGCTTGCCCAAGATAATCCAGCCAGTTGCAATTGGAGGAGTGGGGAACTACGACTTGCCCAAGGTCATCCAGCCAGGTGCAAGTGGAGGAGTGGGGAATCAAACCTAGTTCTTCCAGATCAGAGTCCGCGCACTTAACCACTACGCCAAACTGGCTCTGAGCAAATGAGCAAATTTAAGTACTCCTGGAACCTGTGCAAGATAACAGTGATCTTGGGAAGGGAGCACAAAGAATCAGACAAATGCAGGACAACCACGAGCTATTCATCCTAAGCACAGCCTCCACCTCTGTAGACAAGGTGCTTCTGAACACCAGGTGCTGAAGACAAAACTGGGGGAGGCAATTGGCTTCCTGTCTTGCCGTGTACTTCCTAGAGGCCTCTGCCTGACCGCTGCCAGAAACAGAATGTGAGACTAGGCTGACATTTGGTCTGATCTAGCAGGTCTCTTTTTAGGACATGGGCCTCTCTCCCTGCCTCCTGATTAGCTACACAATTCAAAATATTAATGGCAGGAAGATGTGAAGACAAACCCATATGCTGGGTAGGAATGGGGGGGGGCAAGGAAAGGTAACAAGGGGTGCCCAGTGGACCGGATCATGCCTCGGCTATGGCAGGAATCTTTAGGAAAACCATCAAGTACCGTACATTTTGACCAAAGCAATATTTGCTGATCAAATCCTCCCTTCCCAATATCTCAGTAGGGGGCAAAACCTATCTTCAGGGGAAAAACCCCCCTAGTGCCAAACTTTGCAATACAACCACTAAACAGGATGCAGGGGTAACAGTAAAACCTTCCCTTCAATTAATTGAGACTGTGAGCAACACAGACATTGCCTAGAGGACAGGAGAATCGCCTCCTTATGAGAATGCTTTTTGATCCTGCCCTTATAGCTACAATCAGGGGTCATTCCCTGCTGGAGCACAGCTCCGGCAGTAAAGAGCCCAGGGGGCGGGCACATGGAACACACCCCACCCCCTGCTCCCAGCAGCCCTCAGTCAGAGCAAGAAGCAGCCAGGTAAGTTGCAGAGCTCCCCCTGGCCCCCCGGTCCAAAACAGTCCAGTGGCACCTTTAAGACCAAGTTTTATTCAGGTACAAGCTCTCCCTCCTCTGCGAGGACAGTTCTGCATGTTCCCCCCCCCCCCAAATAGCTAGCAATCCAAAACAGCCCAGGGGACCCTGGCGTGTCGCCTTCTGACACACGTCCGGAGATGTCAGGGGGTGTGGTATATGCAAATGAGCTATGCAAATGAGCTCTGCTAATGAGCTCCTGCACCTCTTTTCTATGAAATGACCCCTGGCTACAATCCTGCTTAGAAGAAAATAACAGCTGGGGAACCAAAACACATGCAAAAGTGAGCTATCACATTTCATGCCCCTTAGGAGCGCAAGATCTCAAAAAGGCACAGGGCTACTCCCACACTTGCCCCTATTTTTGTCCAGTGTCTCCCCTCCCTCTGAGATGAGCCTCCCAAGTCCCAACACATTGCCAGTTCCCCCCTTCCTGCCCTTGAAGCAAACTTGCTTTACAGCTCCTGCATGTACATCTTTCTCAAAACCACTTTTCAGAGTGGCATGTGCAGGATTACGGGTGGCACAAGGGACCATCAGGTCTACCTACAGGGTAGACGGGACAGGAGAACGGCAAGATTCTAGTAACAGCCTGAAAAGCAACTGGACGGCAGATCTCGCAGGCAACCTCCGGGAGGAAAACACAGCTGCCAAATCGACACATTGCAGCAGGTCAGCGGTAGCTCATTGCCTAATCTGAGGCCACATGGGGACATTTCTGACCTCCACCTGAGGATGTACACAGGCAATTACATGGATGACAGGGATGTTACTCCCCCCTTCCCTGGCACCACCGATGCAAACCTAATTTGAGTGACGTAACAGAATTAATACCTTGCCAATGTCTCCCGAATGAAATACTGCCACAAAGCAGTTTAAGCAGGGGTCATTTTGTAGAAAAAGAGGTGCAGGAGCTCATTAGCAGAGCTCATTAGCACAACTTAATTGCATAAGCCACACCCCCTGACATCACCGGACGTGTGTCAGAAGGCGACACCCACTGCTCAGGCTCCACTGGACTCTTTTGGATTGCTAGCTATTGGGGGGGGGACGTGCAGATCTGTCCTCGCAGAGGAGGGAGAGCTTGTACCTGAACAAAACTTGGTCTTAAAGGTGCCACTGGACTGTTCTGGATTGCTAGCTATGGGGGGGTGGGGGGACGTGCAGATCTGTTGGATTGCTAGCTATTGGGGGGGGGGGTGGACGTGCAGATCTGTCCCCGCAGAGGAGGGAGAGCTTGTACCTGAATAAAACTTGGTCTTAAAGGTCTGTCCCCGCAGAGGAGGGAGAGCTTGTACCTGAATAAAACTTGGTCTTAAAGGCACCACTGGGCTGTTTTGGATTGGGGGGGGGGGCAGCGGGGCTCTGCAACTTACCTGGCTGCTTCTTGCTCTGACTAAGGGCTGCTGGGAGCAGAGGGTGGGGCTTGTTGCATGTGCCCGCCCCCTGGGCTCTTTACTGCCAGAGCTCCGCTCCTGTGCACTCCTGAAGGAAATGACCCCTGAGTTTAAGGAACAGACCCATCATCAAACTGCATTGTCACTCGGTGAGCAGAAGGCTAATTTTAAGCCCTGCAGTATAACTGACTCATAAACATCCAGATATGTCAACCTAATACATTGTTCTTTTCACTACCAGCAACTGGAAGCTGCTCTTTTCTTATCATGCAGATTTCCACTAGGCAGATGCCTCATGCGACTCTCTACTGTACAGTGCATTCGGGGAGGGGCTGTGTGTCACGGCTCAGGTGGGGTGTCACCTGACACGGCCACCACTCTGGATTTAGGATCCCTTGAGAAGGCCCAGAGCACCCTCCCAAGACCTTCAGACCTCCCTTTTGGCCGAATAATAGGCGTGAGGACCAGGCAGAGTACAAGAAGGAAAAGGAGGTCAAACAACAAGGTGCAGAATAGTAACAGTAAGTGGGTGAAAAGAAAAGAAATCAAAGGCCCTAACGCGTCTAAATATATACTGTCCCTAGCTCACTATTCCAAGTAACACTAGACTACTCACCCTTCCCTCAGGATGAGGGTTTCTTCCTGCAACAGCTCAGCAGCCTTCCTTCTGGCTCTGCCCTCTGGGAAGAAGAACAGCTTCTGCTCTGGCACTAGCCCTTTTGTTCCCCAGCCCTCTTCTTCCCTATTGGTCAATTTTGGCTCCAAAACCTCTCAGGGGCTTCTGGGAGTTGTAGGCCCAGCCTCACCTACTGCTAGCCAGGCTCCCTGGGCCTAGTAGGCCTCTGGGGGCACAGCCCAGATCATGACCGGGGGGGTCAAGAGAAGTATTCATAAACAGTAAATAATCCTCCCTAGCATACATCACGTAAGGCTCAGATCTCCAAAACACCAGTATAGATATAAAAAGTGACTGCCTGAACGATTTCCTTCGAAAGGTTTTCAGAGAACTTCAAATACAGGCCCTGAGACTTTTACATCTTAACGTAGCAAAGGAGACTGAAAGCATCCCATTGACAAAGCTTCAGTAACAGCCGCCCGCCGGCACAAATACTTTGCATCCCTCCGCCCAAGCCCACTTACCTGGTAGGTTTTTCCAGTGTCCACCTTTGCCCACATAGATCAGCTCGTTGCCATTTGCCTCTCCATGCCAGTCATGCTCAAAGGTGGCCCCTCCATACTTCTTGAGACTTTTGCCGCACACAAACTTCTTGCAGCACTGACCGGGTACTTTCAGGAGCCGGGGGTTGGAGCAACCCAGCGCGATCAGAGGCAGCTCTAAGGGGCACAGAGGTTGGCAGCCCACAGCCCCATCAATGCAGGTGCATTGATGTTTGCAGTTGGGCTGAAAATTCTCTCCGTTCTGGTAGATGCGGCCATTGTACTCACATGTCCGGCCTTCTTGTTTGGCTAGGAGGTAGGAAGGGGGAGGGGAAAGATGTACCGATGTATGTTATTCCTGTCTTAGGAGTCAAATAAGCAATATACTCAGACATGAGGATGTGCAACTAAAGGCATATGGATTGTGTCCAAGCATCACGGGATAGGTAAAGGTAAAGGTTCCCTTCCTCGAAAGCCAGTTGAATCCGACTCTAGGGTTGCGGTGCTCATCTCCGTTTCAAAGCCGAAGAGCCAGCGCTGTCCGAAGACATTTCCGTGGTCATGTGGCCAGCATGACTAAACACCAAGGCACACGGAACACTGTTACCTTCCCACTGAAGTGGTACCTATTTATCTACTTGCAATTTCTTGCTTTCGAACTGCTAGGTTGGCAGGAGCTGGAACTAGAGACGGGAGCTCACTCCATCACGCAGCACTCGGGTCTCGAACTGCTGAACTACTGACCTTCCACAGCCTGCAGTTCAGCATCTTAACCACTTGAGCCACCGCAGCTCCTTATCATGGGATAGTGTTGCGCAAAACTACCACGCAAGGAAGGCCTTGGTGCCCAAATGTTCTCAAGGTCAGCCCATGCTCTCGCTGTGTGACCTTCATGGTCATTAGAAAGCAACAATACCCAAACAGATTGCAGAAGACCAGAGGTTCTTTTTCAATAGAGATAAGTGCAAAGTCCTACACTTAGGTACAAAAAATCAAAGGCACAGATATAGACTGGGAGGGACTCGGCTTGACAGCAGCACACGTGAAAGGGATCTAGGTGTTCTGGTTGATCACAAGCTAAACATGAGCCTGCAGTGGGATGTGGCTGTGAAGAAAGCTAATGCAGTC